ATGGGGCTGAGCCCACGGGGGCCAGCAGGCAGCATCCTGCCCTCCCTCTGCTTTACACAATGCAGCTCCCTGCAGCCCATGGGCAGGAGGCGCTCAGTCCCCAGCAAGGCTGGATTTATTTCTTGTCACCTCCTCCAAGCCCAGCACCTGCTGCAGGTTTCCTCAGCCCCACTAGCCCTCAGCAGGCCTGTGCATCTTGTCCTTGCCCTGTGTTCACTGTGGTGTCAGGTGAATGGAGAGCCCATGGCCAGACTGGGTGTCCCAAAGCAGGGATGAGGGCTGGTTTTCCACACAATCAACTGCTCACAGGAAGGCAAAAAACCCTAAACAAATAGAAAACTCAGAGGTTAATGTGCCCTGCCCACAAAGTTGTGTTGAAATGTGTTTTGGGATGGAAGACGCCCCATTTCTTCTTAAACTGATACCTAAGCACATCACCTCATGTTGCAGCTTGCTCTGCTGTGCTTTTCCTGGCACCTCAGCCTGTGATGCTGCAGCAAACCATCTTCTTCCTCACTATCAATTCTCAAATCTTCAGCACACTAGGGAAGTTTTTGCAATCTCACATTACCTGTTGCTGCAAACAGTAAATTGTTTTAGTCCCCAGGGCTTCTCCGTGGCATAGCCTTTCTCTGATGTTCCCCCATTAACAAGACCAGGTGGGGAATCTGTCCATGGGCAGGTTTTTAATCCATCTACTGTGTCCTCTTAAGTCCTCATAAAACAAGTTTTTAATCAAAATGTCACATGGCAATAAGTGAAATGCTGAAGAGAAATCCGTGGTGCTCTGCTGGTGGAGCTGTCTGTGCCTGCCATGCTCTGCTCCTGCCCAGAGGGAGTGGGTCTGTTGTACAAAGCTGATGTGGGACATATAGTGGGTTCCCTCCTGGCTCTTTGACATGACCCCACCTGAACCCTCTACTGTTTCACTGAGTTCAACATCTCTCCACTTGGTCTTTGCTTTTTGCACCATCCCTTTTTCTTTGCCATCCTTGTCCAGGGGAAAGCAGCTCTGCCTCCAGCACGGGCTTTGGGCTGTACTCTATGTTTTGGGCATGGCTCCATTTTCCCTTCTTTTCTCTAAATTAATGTCTGGAGGACTCATCAGCAAGACCCCTCTGCAATGGGGTGATCTACCCACACCCACAGACCTGCCCCTGCTGCACCTGCAGTCACCTGCAGTTCCTGCCACATTCCCTCCTGCTGCAGGGCTGTGGGTCACCTGCCCATTGGCATAATCAGCACCAAAGTGAGTGCCAGAGGGGCTGCACAGGTGCCCTGGGTGGGAGGATATCAGCATGTGACAGTGTGATAATTTCCATGGCAACGGTGTATGACAGCACAAGCACCGTTCGCTGCTCCTCAGTGCCGGTGCCTGGAGCTCGGGTGGCCCGTCAGTGCGCTCTCCTGGAGGGAACAGGACAGCACGGCCACCTTCTGCTGATGGTGGGGTGCAAAGGGCTGCCGTGAGCCTCAGACCCACCTGAGTAAACCCACGGCTGGTCCCTGACCACCTCTGTAAACGTGGGGCAGAGCTGTGCCCACAGCTGGCTCAGAGGGGGCACGTGGAAGCCAGGGATCCCCTTGCCCAGGGCCTTGCTCTGCAGTGAGGGCAGAAGCCACTCGAGAGGACGACAACAAAGTGGGTGCCACAGCTCTGCCCCAGCATGAGCTCCTGTCCCTGGCAGGCACAGGCCAAGGCAGCACCGCTGTGTGCCCTGCACCCTTTCCCAAGTGGAGACACAGCACAGCACCCTCCTCCAAGCAGAGCCAGGAGGAGCCAGCTCTAAGCCCTGGTCCATGGGGCAGCTCCCACTCCCTCTGCTCTGCGATTCTGCAGCCCACACTGTGCCTGGGGTGAGCATCCAGGGCCCATCCATGGGCTGGAGCTGAGCGTGGCAGGGGCTTCATGGCCAGCTGGGAACATGACAGGTAAGGAGGGACAGAGGGCAGGTGACCAGCACGTGAGTGCTCAGCCTTGCTCCCGTCCCCAGCATGCCTGTTGCTCAGAGAGACCTGCCAGGGAGAATGGAGTGGGCACTTAATCTCCCCCTGTAAGTTTAATTAATGGGCTGCAGCACTCATTCTGTGCTGCCTTAATTGGTACAAGCTGCAAACGCTGTGGAGCCTGGAAAAAAACATTTGGAAATGAAAAATATATTAAGCAGGAAACAGATCAATGGTTCTTAATGAAGCTGATTCGGGGGCTGCCTGTCGTCGAGGGGCCAGGACCTGGGAGACACAGCTGCTGCCCAGGCTCCATGGCCCAGGCACCTGCCCTCCTTAGTGAAATGAGCAGCCCTTGGGACCGGAGCATCAGCCCTGCTCCTGTCTGCAGGAGAGTCATTTGGGGCTGTACCTGGTCTGTGGGGGAGGCTGGGGGGCTCTTCCCCAGCATTTTTGAGGGCAGCTTGAAATCTTGCAACAGCTGGAAAAGCCAGCCCTGCTCAGCTGGAGAGGCACCCCAGGCACAGCTGAAAAACCACCTCTGCACATCTTCAGCCCCTGGAACAGCTGTAAAGACCACCCAGGGTACAGCTGGAAGGGTAATCTCAGCACATCTGTCTCTTGTGGGGCTGCCCCAAGAGTACATCCAGTCTCAAGAGCCCAGACTGGGGCTGCTGAGGGCTGTGGGCAGAGCTGGCCATGTTTCACTGTGGTGGTTTAATGGGAATTTCACCCTTTTTATGGGGCAGGAGCATGGCTGGGCTGATCTCTGTGAGGGGCCAGGGGTGCAGAGCTGTGCTGAGGGCTGTAATTACCTCAGCTGTGCACAGAACATTAGCTGTGCTTCCCAGATATTTACACAGGGGAAAACAAAGTCATAACTCACCAAATAAATAATCTCCCAGGCACGGCAGTCAGGGAGCAGGTGCCCCCTTGCACTCACGCAGCTGGCCCAGCACAGAGCATCCTCCACCATCCCTTGGGGGCTGGCAGGACCCCTCGGGGCACACACTGAGGGGCAGAGAGGGTGTCCAGTGAGCTGAGGGGTGTCATGGGTGCTGGGATGCTGAAGTGCAATCCTCCCCACTGAGGGCAGAGGGGTGAGACACCAAGGACTGCCTGTAGACAGCCACATGTCCCAGCTCTGGTGCAGATCAGCATAAATCCTGGACACTCCAAAGCCACGGGGCCAGGGGAGCCCTGCAGGTATCCCACATGCCAAAGTACACCCCAAAAGCACCCATTGCCCAGAGTCCAGGCCCATGAGACCTGTAAATCTCCCTGAGCCCTGTGTGGGAGCAGAATGCCACATGGGAAATGGAGAACTCAGCACTGGCCCGTTTCACACAATACATTTCATTTAATATTTGGCATTTCACTTCATTTACTTGACAGCCAGCTAACAAATTAGCACGGCATGGTATCAATAGCTCCAGACTGTGTGGATTAAAATCTGTTTAACCAATAGATCCAAAGAATAAAATAGTAAACGAGAGCAGTGTGGCTGCAAGGGCTGGGACTCTGCTGGGGCTTCAGCACAGCTGGGAGAAGAGCAAACTGTGTTCTGACATCCAAGGGGGATCAGCTACCAGGTCACCAAGTGGGAGGACCCTGTGGCTCCCGGTGCTGGCAGGAGCAATGATGACCCCAGCATAGCTCGATCCAGCTGTGAGCAGGGAGCTCATCGCAGGGGATGAGCAGCCCCTCCCTGCCCCTTGGCTGCCCGGAGCGTTTGGCAACAGGCAGGGGTCTGCAGGGACCACTTTGGTTTCCTGATGCTAAATCCCAGCCCCACTAATGTGATTGCTAACAGCATGTGGCCCCTAATAGGGAAAGTACCCTGCAGCCTGCCTGCCTGCCTGGTACAAATTGCAAATCTTGTTACGGGTTGTGTCCAGATTTTTAACGTGATAATCGCTGCCCTGCTCAATTATGCCTCTGGCTCCGTGTCCTGATGGTCCCCAAGAAAGGGTTAAGCAGCTGCTCTCTGCTGTGCTCAGGGGGCAGTGATGGGGAAGAGAGGGGTTGTTTATGGGAACACCATCATGATACCCCAGGGTCCCCAGAGCTGCCCTTTGGTGGCAGTAGGCCCACAGGGTCCCCAGTGATTCCTGGCTGGGCAATGCTGCCTATGCTGCCTCACACGTGGCCCTTGCCTCGTGCATCCGGCTCCTGGTGCTAAGCCCAGGGCTGGGCAGCAGCAGATGAAGCCCAGTTCTGCATTAGTTTCTCTCCCACCAGCCTCAGGCATAGCCACACTGCTCCCAGTCAGCCACAGGCAGGCTGCTCCTCACAGTGTCTAGTTATAAAAAAGAGAGAAAAAAATGGATAAATAATTAAAAACATTAAATCCTTTGCACCTCTTTAATATTTTGCACTTTCAAGGCTGGTGTGCCCATTAATTAATGAATGACATCAAATGAACTCTTGCCTCACATCTCTCCCGGTCTTGCTGTCCCTGCTGTCCCCAACCCTTCCCAGGTCCCCTGGCATGTCACCAACAACCCCTTCCCAGCTTGGGGCACTGTGGTGGGAGCCCTGGCCTGGACAGACAGCCCCAGCGCAGCACTGGGGTGCTCACAAGCTACCCCCTGTCCTGTCCCTTGCTGCTCCTGTTGTCACTGGGATTCCTGGTGGGCGCGGTAGTGGAAGGATGGTGAGACTGTCACATCTCGGCTGACATTACATATTTGTTACTCAGTATCTTTTTCAAGCTTTTGAGCGTGTTACAGAATTGAGACCACGTAAGTACAGGGATCATTTTCCTTCTCCCACCTCCAAAACTCAGTCACCCTGCAACAGGGTGTAATAGCTGTTTAGCAACATGCAGGGATGTTACTCAGCAGGGGGAGAAGGATCCCACGTCCCTGAAAGGTGATGGATGCGATGCGTAAGTGTAAATTACTCGATGGAGTATTTAACTGCAAAAGTGGTGAGCTGGGGCATGGGGGTCGTGCTCAGCCCCCACTGTGGGTACACGCTGCTCTCAGCTCTGCTGCTCCTCCCCAGCCCTCTTGCCTCGGGAGCCACCTCTGCTCCCAAGGGATGCACAGCTTGTCACCAGCCAGCCCTGCTCCTGGTGTCACAGCCCGCACGGGGTGCTGGGTGTCCCTGGCCCGTGGCAGGCAGGGCAGCAGGAACAGGCAGGGTGTGTGCCCGCTGCCTGCAGTGCCACAGGAGAAGTGGGGTTTAGTCCAAACAAAGAGGTGTTTTCAGAAGGCTGAAATTAATAACACAAACCCTAATTTAAAATTATATTAGGCTATCAATTACTCCCCAAGCATCCAAGAGCTCCGCTGCCAGCTTCAAATTGCCAGCTGTGATAAATGGTTTTATTGGAATTTCATAAGGTCTGAATTATTTGCAGACTGGAAATTTTCATAGATTAATTAAAATTTTGTAACAAGCTGAAGTGGTTTGTGGCAATCCCCGTCATGACTGGCCTAGGGCAGTGTTGGGACTCTCATTTCCCCAGATTGTCCCCAGGGACCACCATGGCAGGGGTGGCCTTGCTGGTGCCATGGGAGCATTGCAAGGAAAAATCCTGTGTGTTTGGCAAATTGGAAGAGACAATTATCAAAACTTGAATGGCTGGATAATTGCAATGTGTTTGGCTTGAGCCAGGACTATCCAGCCTCATTTCTTGTATTAGAGTTCTTCTAATACTTCAGTAAAGAGTGAGTAGAGGGAAAACCACTCAACAGTTTATTCAGATTTTCAAAAAGCCTTTTGACAAGATCCAGCACAGGAGGTTACTATAGAAATTAAGTTGTCGTGGAGTGAGAGGCAAAGTATTGCCATGGATCAAAGGCTCACCAAGAGAGAGAAAACAGAGGAGGAATAAACGGGCAGTTGTCATCCCAGCACCGGGCAGCCGCGGAGGCTTGCAGGCTCTGCCATGGCCCTGTGGCACTTAACATATCTGTGGGGTGTCTGGGGAGAAGAAGCAGCACTTTGAGAGACACGATGGGGAAGCTCTAGGAGGGTTTGAGGCTGTTGCATGTGGGAGGTGTGATGTGGGCAGGCAGGTCATGGCAGCACTGCTGGGCTGAGCTGCAGCCCTCGATGCCCTCCCTGCCCAGCCGTGCTGCTGCTTGGGGCACAGCCATCCAGCTCCTGGGCTGCTGACAGGACACACTCCCAGGCCTGGTAATTTCCTGGGGACATGGTCAAGGGTCAGTTTAACGAGCAGGCAGGCTGGCAGTGCCATGTCTTGTCCCCGGAATTACCCTCTGCCCTGTCCAGCAGGGAGAGGCTCGGCACCCAGAGCTGCTGCCCATGGATCAGAGCCCCCAGGCTCAGGGCACACCTCTGTCTGTGAAGGGGACACACCTAGGGATGAGCCCCAGCTCCTCTACAGGACCCTTTTGCACGTGTGGCTCCCAGATAAGAGGAGCAAAGGGAGATTTACACCCTGACAGGCAAAGCCAAGCCACACAGGCAAGAACATGATGGGTGACTGAGTCACATACACCCCCAGATGAGGTGTCCAAAGAGGTGCATACAGGGGGAGAGGTCAGGTGTGCTCTGGGGGGTGCCTAGCCCTCCCACCCCATGCAGACAGAAGTTCAATAGGGCTTGGGCACAGGGCTGCCCCCTCCCACCTCCCGTTCCCGCAGGCAGCCCTGGCAACCAAAGACCGTGCAGGGTAAGCACTGGCGCCGAGCTGCAGCTTCTCCCCCGCCGAGGAGAACCTGTTCAGCAGGAAAGGGGCCCCACAGTGCCTATGTGCAGATAAGGGAGGGAATGTAAACACCCTCCCAGCTCGGGCATCCCAGCTATCTGAAGTAGCAAATGCCTCCAGAGCAAATTCCTCCCGCTCTGCCTCCTGCATCAACTGTGGGGGCCTCAAGATCTGCAGGGACAAGTCCCCCTATTGCTGTCCTGCAGCTCCCCGTTTTCATTCACTCCACACACGTGTTTTTCCCTTTCCCCTCTATCTGACACTTCCCTGGACCACCCCACACCATCACCCCATCTCTCTGGGAGGATGAAGGGTGGTGGTGGTCCCCCCCTGCTCTGGCAGCCTCAGCCTCCTCCTCAGACCGGTTTTGCCAGATGAAATATCTCTGCCATGCGACCCTGCCAGCAGTCAAAGAGCATTTCTCACTGATTTCAGCATTTCTCACCAATTTCGGCAGCTGGGGAACAACCATGGCTGAGGAAACAGATGCCTTGGAAGAGGCTTGGTGTGTTTCAGGGCACCCCAGTATGGGGCACTCAGTGTCGCTGCCTGGTGCTTTGGCTGATATTAGACAATAAAACCCTCCTCCTCCCTTCTGAAATTAGTAAATGCAGCTGCTGTTTGCTCCCTTCCTGCATTTTGTGGGCTGGAGCAGCCCTGTTTTGACCCTGGGGGATGCTGCAGGGTGTTGGGATGAGCCACCGGTGCCCAGTGCTTCCTTTCTCACCTGTCTGTGGGCTCGGTGTCCCTCCTGTCCCCCTCAGCATCAGCTGCAGATGCTCAGGCTGCTGCCTTGTGATCGTGAGCAGGGGCCGGTGCTCGGCAGGGGCGGATGCAGGCAGGGACCACGGCAGCAGGCTGCAAGCCGGCAGCACTGGGAGAAGCAAAATGCACCCGGGGACAGGCGTGGCAGAGCCCCCGGGAAGCAGAGAGGAGAGGGCACTTGAAGGGATGCGGGGCCACAGAAGCCAGGACTGCTCGAGCTCACATCACAGCATCCCAGAATGCTGCATCTGCAGTGAGAGACTCCCAGAGAACCTGTTGATATGGCAACCCTGCACGGGAGAGAGCCCGTCCTGCTCGCCTCTGCATCCCCTCCCGGTCCCCTCCACACCTGGCACACCCCGGAGCCCTGCAGTGTCCCCAGCCAGCCTGGTCCCTGGGGCCACACCTGGGCCACGGAACTCATAGTTGAGGGGGTGAAATACAGTCAAATGAAACAAAATGCTGCAGACAGTGGAAAAATCATCCCAGCATTCTCAGACAATGCAGGGCTTTCAATTGCCTTTCGGGTGGGAGACCCCGATGTCCCTGTGGGCTCCCCTCTCTGCAGTGCCAGTGATGCTCACAAAAACCTACGAGGAGAGAGATGGATGGATACTGGAAAGAGAACAGAAACCACTTCAAAAAGGGGTGCAGCAGAGCCATGGGATGAGCAGTGCAGCTGTTGGCTACCCTGGCTCAGTCAGGGACTGAGCACCATCCAGGTGGGGTGACAAGCTCTGAGGTTTGGTTGAGAAGAAATTCAATAGCCTGGAAGTCCTCAATATCCACCGTGTCCCTCAAAACAAGGAGACTCCTAAATTAGTTGGCTTGGCATTTTTAAAATCGAGGAGATACTTTCTCCTGACACAGATTTAAACAGCAGACTCATGGGTCTGGCGGGTGCAGAAGGGGATCAGTCTCCACCTTCCCTGTGTTGGCCCTTTTTCTGTGTGTGGCAGCACTGGCAATGCTCACTGGCTTCACCCAGCCCCATTTGGCTGCTTTCCCTTCCACACTCATCCACATATCCTGGACCCAGTTACAGGTCAGCCCTTTTCCCAGGGCTACCTATGTGATATGGGCACTGTGGGGCAGAGCTTCTTCCATTCCCCCACTTGTCTTTGGAAAGGTGAGAGTTCCTGACTGTGAAATGACACTGGAAAATCTCCCCTGGCCCACTCTGACAGTGTTTGGGGGTTCTGGGAAGGCACAAGCATCCCCACAGCACCCACCACTGATATTTGGGAACATTCACAGGGTGTCAAAGAAGTAAGTGACAAACATTGCCAACCACATCAGACGTGAATTTTTCAGCTGCCAGCACTGATGCTGGAGGGGTCTGGGTGCTCAGGTGCAGGGGGACAGCCTGGTGGCACCACCAGCTCTCAGGCTGGCCATTGGAAAAGGTGGGAGTCACTGGTGGCCATGGATTCTGTTTCTTTAAAATCAAATGGTGCTTAAAATTAAATCTCTTTGCTGGTGACTGAAATTTGATGGATGAAAGGCATTTCTCCACATTTCCAAGTGATTTTTAGGAGGCAGCTCTGCCACTGGCCTCCTCACCCTCACCATGTGTCAGCCTCAAACATGGTGCTGGCCAAGCTGCCTTCAGGGATGCACAGAGTACCCTCACTGTGACCCCTGGGAACGGTGAGCACAGACAGCAAGGAAAGAATTGCTATGAGATGTAATTAAGCCAGACAAGGAGCAATTTCTCACTGCAGAGCTGCGGTGGGCTGCTTTAGAATGTGATTCAGATCCACTTCAAGAGCTGCTGAGCCTTTAATCCCACCTGCTAATCCCCTACCTGAACCTTTACCTTCATTTTCCAGGGACTTTGGTGCCTTATCGCAGCAGGGTGGTCTCTTCAGAGGGACCCCCTGAAGGCTGGTGCCTCCAGCAATCCTTTTTGTTAGGGCCATAGCCGGTATTGACACCATTGCAGATGTTTCTCTCTGGCATGGGGGACAGGGCTGTGTGCCCAAGTCCCAGCACAGCCCCAGCGTCTGCAGCGATGCTTGAGCTGCGGCCAGAGGCTTTCCCTCCCCATGGACTTGTTTTCTGCCTCCCCATGACCTGCTGTGCTCAGTGTTACACCCAACCCCAGACATGTCCTGGCAGCTGGAGAGCACTCAAGGAGCCACACTCATGGATGCATCCCCCATGTGTGGCTCTGCAAAGCCAGTGCATTGGTGCTGATCCAGCACATCATAGCCCCAGCACAGGGACTGCTGGCCCGTGCCAGAGGGCTTCTCCCAGCTGGAAAAACAAATTTGGATGAAATGTAGGATGGCTCCTTGCCAAAAACCCCAGCAGAAAGGTTGGTTGGTGGAGCCCAGCTTGGTTTGGCCTTGACCAAGGCATCGGGGCCACAGAGAATGTGGCTCCTCAAGAGCCATCCCAGGGGTGAAGCTGTGACCCTGCACAGCGCCTGGAGGCAGGACGTGGGGTGAGGCTTGCAGGCAGCAGGGCTCTGGCACAGCCCTCGGGAGGGGATGGCACCGCAGGGATGACCTTCAGGAGCCCTGGCAGGATCAGCTGGCAGCCCTGCTGTGGGAGGCAGAGTGAGGAGGCCACTGGGAGTGTCAGATGTCTGCGATGCCATTACACACCGGACGCCTGTCTCCTCACCTGGTTAATTATTAACCGAGGAGTCTGTGCTGCTGCTCAGGGGGACTCAGCCAGCCCAGCCCGGTACCCCCGCTCCGCGCAGCGACCGCTGCCAGAATCATCCTCCAACCCAAGCACAGCCCTTCCTGCAGCAGCCCCCACTGACTGTGACATAGCAGCAAGGCAGCCCTTGGAGCAGGGAATCCCACATCCCACAGAATTGCTGTGCCACCAGCCAGGGACAACACACGTTCACAATAACGCCTCTCTTTTCTCCCCTGCAGACTTGTGCCTTTTTTCTCTTCTTCTCTCCTCCTGGCTTTGCCATATGCAATAAGGAGTAAATAAAGAACACTGATGAAAAGAAAAAAAAAAACCAAAAACAACAAAACAAAACAAAAAAGAAAAGATCAAGGGAATCCTTTCCCTGCGATCTCACTCACACCAGCCCCGGGGCTGTGGTGTTCCCTGAACGTGTGGTTTGCAGGGCTGAGGGACTGCCTGCTCTAAGCCCTTGATACTGCAGCCAGGAGGAACCAGAGAGAGCCAGGAAAGCAGCATCAAGCCCAGCTGGTGTGACAGCATGGGGATGCCACTCCAGGCCAGATGGGAGCTAGAGGAGAGGGGTGACTTGAAGAGGCACAAGAGGTGACTTCCACTCTAAGACACACATCCAAAGCACTCTTGGCATGTTTATTTTCCTCTAACAAGTCTCATACAAGCCCCAGTTTGGCTTTCAGCTGCTGTTTGAGTGGCTGGTGGGAAAAGAATAAAAGATTTCTGAATTTCAATAAAAGCCCCCTTATCTCATCCCTCTCCATCAAGGCTGCTTCACATTCTCTGCCTTCCAGGCTCAGTGATTTACATGGTAATGGCCTCTTCAGCCCAGGGTCAGATGGGGAATTTCACTGGAGCCAGACTGCCGGCTTGGCCTTGAGGCAGAGGGCAAGGGCCGGGGGTCTGCCCCAGCACCCTGCCAGCAGCAAGGGTCAGCAGGGAAGCAGGCTGGTGAATGCAGGGGAAGGCACGGGGAGAGCCCTGGCCGTGGGCTGCGGGGAGCCCCAAGGCTCTCCGGGGTGTGTGAGGCGTGTTGATGGCACAAGCCTCCTGGCGGGACCGCTGGAGCTTGGCTCCGAGCGCTGCTTCTTCCCTGCTCGTGCCAGATGGTGGCTGGTGCAGAAAGGCAGAAATGTTTAGTAGATATTTCTGTTCTGTATTTGGAATGAAGCAGGAGGATATATTCATCTCCAGATGATACTGTGGATGGAATATAAATCCTGCCATCTGTAACAATGGGGGACGTGAGGCATGATCTCCTCGAATTCAGCATTTGCAGATCATCCAGGCAGCTGATGCTCAAGAGTCTAGAAGAAACTAGCTCAAGTCAGTGCCACAGCTTAACAGATCTTAGAAAAATGGTCAAATTCTAAAAGACTAGAGAAACATCAGTGTAGTTCCAGTGTAGAAAAATTTAAAGGCACAGAGCAGAGACCTGCACATGAACTGGTTGGTTCATGTCTTTTTGTGGGGTCTTTTTTTGAAGTCTTATTTTGAAGTCTTAGGTATGATTGATAAAGGCAAGTGCACCATTATAGCAAACTGGACTTCCTCAAAGCATTTTGCCTATTACTACATGACATTTGGAATGCAAAAACCCACGCTACAGAAGGAATTATCAGAGCACGAACTAAGTGGACTAAAATCCACCTCAGATCTCACCACGTGGTGGCTGCTGGGGGGACTTGGGAGGATGGAGGTGTCCTCAGTGAGGTCTCTTGAGGGAATCTGTTTCTTACTGCAACAATGCGTATGTTTTTATCCAATGGCCAGCCAGACCATAAAAAAGCTGTGATGGTGAAGTCTGCAGGTGATGCAGTTAACCTACCTAACCTAACCTGGTAGGGAGGTGAATAACAAGCAGGCCATGTTGCTGCTCTAGTATCTTCTAAACTGCCTGGTAAAATGGGCCATAATCTAACTAAATGCATTTTAATACAGGTGCATGCAAGCGAAGGCAACTGGGAACAAAGACTGCAGCCTTTATCTCCAGGATGGGCTTGGAAAGCTGTGACAGAAGGCAGCTCAGGAATGATTTCAGGTAACTGACTCCACATGAGCTCTCATTCAACAGCATGCTGAAAGCATCCAACATCTTCCTTGAATATATAACAAGAGAATATCAAACAAAGGCAGGGGAGCATCTCGACTCTTCACATTACTGTTGAAATGATTACTATGGATGTTATTGGCAACTCGGGTGTCTACAATTAAAAAGGTCACCAAAGTTCAGGAAAGGAAAGCCATACACACTATCCAGGCATCAGAAAACAAGCTGTGGTACAAGAGTGGAATGGTATAAACTGCTCAATTTGCTGGAAAGAAGATTGAGGGGTGCTCCAGCCTCAGCGAGAAATGTTCCTGACAGTTCAGCAGTCTCCATCTCAGAGAGGAGCAGCAAGATCTGAAGGCTGAAGCACCAGTTAAGAAAAATTCAGTCTGGGAAGGAAAAACAAGATGCTAGCAGGAGGGCAGGAGATGTTGGATCAGCTACCCAGAAGGCAGCAGTTTTACCTATTTTACAACCAATTCCTGTATGTGAGACAGGTAAATCCAGATTCTGGGGAGGCTCCACAGCCTTGTTGTGCACAAGCCCTTCTGTACCCAGGGGTGCTTCAGCTGTCCCAGGGACACCAGGACCGCCTGTGCTGGCCTCGACATCATCATGGCCTGCATGCCACAGGGGCAGGAGGTGGCTCAGGACTGATTTTGTTTCCCTCTCTCCCTTCTTTCTCAGGATGTTGAGTCCAGCTCAGCAGGGCTGGGCAGCTCTCAGGAACAGGGGTTGGACGCCCTGTGGAGGCATCACCCTGTGCTAAGCTGAGCCTTGAGCCCAGAGCAGCACACTTTGTGAGTGTCCCTAGCCAAGCACCTCTGCAAGGATCCTGCTCCTCTCTGAAGTGTCTCATTTGGAGAAAAAAAATGCTGTGGATATAAAGCAATGTCTCTTCCTTAGTGATTTTGGGTTGGATTTTTTTTTTTTAATTATGAAATTATATCTATTTCTTTGAAATAAAAAGTTTGGAAGTTTGGTGTGTTATTTTATTTCCCTTGCCTCTTCTCCCATCTCTTTCCCGTTAGTTGTTCCTGCTCTGGAGTGGAGCAGAAGGATAGTGGGTGGGGACTGCCTTATGACTTTTCCCTTTCTAGCTGGAACAGGACCAAACTTCTTCAACTTTGGAAAAGTGACAAAAGAGAAACAAAAAAAAGAAGCACTAATTCTGGTGATCTGAAATGGCAGAATAAGAAAAACGGGTTTGGGGTGGGTTGGGTTTTTTACCTAAAGAGGAAAATGAGAGCGGGTAAAGTGAAATCTGTAAACCCACAGGTAGAGAGAAAGTGACACAAATGAAGGAGGGTGCACAGAGGTGTCAGATTTTGAAAACAGAAACAAATTAAGGGAAAGATTTCATTGGAACCAAGCAAAACAGAAATAAGATTTTTCATTAAGTTGCTTTTCCATTTTTCTCTCTTTGGGCAACAGCTACAGCCCTGTCAGGGACACAGCTGCATCCCTTCAGGGAATGAGCTCATGTCCTTTGCTAGGAACATCTCCTGGAGAGCCCTGGCTGCACCAGGCAGCCCTAAGCAAGGAGATCTGAGGGGCCCAAAGTGTCTCCCCCCATGTCTGCGTGAGGGTTTCCAAGTCTGCACAGCCAAGCAAATGTGTCTGTGATGAGATTTGGAAACTTTGAGGGAGAATTAGAGAGGGAATAAGCAAAATATGTCAGAGCTGTCTCTGCATTGAGGCTGGAAACCAAGGGAATAGGCAGGAGGAATGAGAAGTTCTCATGCATGAAGTCAGTTGTGATTTGGCTGGCATTGCAGAGGTCTGGGGGGAGGGTATGTGACTGAAATACTGCTGGGACACTGTGCAGAGGAACCACAGGGAGTAGCACTGGCCCACCAACCCCCCCGAGCAGGCTTGCCTGAGAGGGGAAATTAGAAGAATCCTGGGGAAGACAGCAAAGGCAGCTGCCACCATTGCAGCCATGGAGCCCTTTTACACCAGGATGGAGCCTTGGTGCTGATCACAGGGCACATGGGAGGCTCTGACGTTGTTTAGAAGAAAAGCTCATTTTTATTCATAATTAATTGCAATGCAGATTACTGGATGCACATGTGATGGGCTTAAACCTTAAAGCTCAAACACAGGATTGTTGAAAACTTAGTGACTCATTAATAACAGACAGACTTGTATGGAGAGGATCATTAAGTAAATGAGTTACAGAAGGCTGTGAGAAACTGCAATAACCTGAACCTCAGCCAGAGGCTTTTGGGGTGAAATTCAGCATGGGCAGCAGGTTGGCTGCTGGGCTGTGCACTGCTCTTGCCTAGAGATGGGGGGAAAAGCCTGGCAGGCACCAGCAGGGCTCTAAATCCCTCTCTGCAGAATAAGCAGCTATTTATGCTGCATCGTTTCCAAAACAAAAGGCTAAAAGTGAAGAAAAGAAAGGAGGAATAAGACATTTTCTGACAGGCGGGAGTCCCTATTTGCTAAGTTTTGTTGGAAACACAAGGCGAAAATCATATCATGTTTAGTCAAATATGTCACAAATGATGCAGAAAATAATTCTCTGCGGTAGTGCCAGAGTTGTTCCAGGGTGCTTTCTGGCACAGAGGGTAGAGACAAGATTGCACATGCAGTGAATGTCAGCAGAGCAAACCCTTGTACAGGGGCAAATATGGTCAAGTGAGTGGTCAAACTTTAAAGTGAAAAGAATGAGAAATGGGCGTGCAGCCACCAGAAGTTGGCAATGTTGCCAAGCACTGAAACCCTTGTCTCCATCCACCCAAAATATCACATATTTGGCATTATTTGTCTGTCCGGCTTCTGAGAAGGCAGCTGCATCATTTTAATGCCCTTCTCTGAAGCTTTGTGGGATATTAACTTATTTCCCTCTCCTACAAGATAAAATAAATTGTGCAAACTGAGGGATAGATGGGTTTATGGAATTATCCTTGAAACTGGAGTCCGGGGCAGTGTGAGCTGAGCCAGCCCTGCCCTGAGGCACAGGTGAGGGCAGTGGCTGCTGGGCATGGGGTGATGGGCTGAGAGCCTCCTGAAGGGGAGGCAGCAGGCACCTTCCTGGGGGCTGGGGAAAGGCACAAGCCACTTTGGAAATCACTGTCTGAAAGCAGTACAGGGTGCTACAGTTATGGGAATTAATCAAGAGCCCATAACAAAGGCTGCTTTGCATTTAGAATATAAAAAAGAACAACAACACACAACACTGTTGTCTTTAAACAAGCAGCAGATAATGCATTTCCAACAATTCCATCCAGAGGCACCATTTGAGAACCTCTCCTAATTGTGATCTTAGAAATATTTTTATTGTAAATGCCACAGGATGACATATAGGGAGATATTCACCCTGTGCCACTCCACACTCTTTGTGACAGTTGAGTCCCACTTTAGTTTAAAAGCTGGTGCACAGAATGTCATTTACATTTAAAAAAAAAAATCATCTGCAAAGAAGGAGAAACATTTGCTATAATAGGCTTAGCCCGGGAGGATTCTCAGATATCTGGTTGGACTGAGGCTGTCTGGAAAGGGAATACCACATTAAACTCCAAAGGTCGGTTACTTCAATGATCTTTCCAAACAAAAAAAACCCCAAAAACAAAAAATCCCCCCACTCTTAAAGGATAAAGCAAAAATGCAACATCATATAGAAAATCTGGGAGCTGTTGAAAGAAGAAAAAATTTCAGATGGAGCTAATTCTGTATCTGTCACTGCCGAGGCAGCTTAAGGAGGGAGATGCTTTGGTTTACATTATTTAAATGCAGCTGCAACACATGAACACGGTTCTGTGAAACCACAGGCAGGTTCCCAGCAAAAGGGGAAAAAATCACTGTGAAATGAAGGGCATTTGCTTCAGCAAATAAACTGTGAAGAGACAAGCTTAAATCTAACTTCAACAAGATCTTTAATATGCTATTTGGATGTTGTAAGGGTATGAGAATGCCCTTTGATATTAGTCCTGCTTCTGAGATATTTCACACGGTAATTGCCTACATCTTTAAGGTACAATGTATTGAAGCAATGGTGATTGCTATTTTAAATTGGGTGATGGTTCTAAAAAAGCAGAACCGAAGAGCCAGGCAAGAACCGGAGAGAGCGGAGAAGACGCTTCAGAATGAACTTTAAAAGGTCAAAATTTGGTCTAGCAGAATTACCTGCACTGTCTCTGAGCTGAGCTATGATGGCTTTGTTGCCAATTTAGATAAAATAGAAGCAATAATTAGAATGTCTAGCCTCTAGGATATAAAGCGGATCTACGGAGATTTATGAAAACAATATACTATTTGGCAATATCTATTCCTAAATCTATGGCCAGTATTTCCTCAGGAGAGAAGTGCTGCAGTCTGAAATTGCCTGGTGTTGGGCAGGCAGGGAAGTGAGCGCTGGGAAGGCTAAAGCTGTGGTGATGGAGAGCCTTTCCCGTGCCGCGGGGTCCTGCCTGCCCTTTGCTGCCCGCCTGAAGGCAGCGGGCAGGGCCCGGGAGCGGCTCCTGGGCTCGCCCTGTGACAGCCAGGCAGGCCTTTGGACAGGGACTGCCATCGCTGGAGCCCCTCTGGGGTCTCTCCCTCAGACCGCTGCACAGGTGGAGCATGCACTGCATCTCCTGCAAAAGGAGAGCTGCAGGATCTGCAGCAGGCTCCTGCTCCCCCCCCCACCAAAACCTGGGCTCCCCAGGATGTCAGCCTGCACTAGGAGCACTTGAGCATGGCTAAATACAAACCCACCCAGGGTCTGGAACAGAAGGAAGAGGCTTTGCAGAGCCTTGTCCTGCCAGCTCCACCGCAGCAAAAAGGATTAAAATAGGCTGCAGACTATTCCTTCCTTAGAAAAGGCTGCAATTGCCTAAATCTGAGAGGAGCAGCCAAGGGTCCTGGGGGAAGAGCCTTGCTCTGGTTCTGTGGGAGTATGGGATGCTCAGACTGGTCTGTTCCCTTCAGTCTCTATAACCACACTAATATACAACTGCTGCTGTTAGCGTCTAAATTTGGGCTACCAAGTGCCATAAGGAAGCCTGTCACACACGGGGGTTCACTTGAAATGCTCAGCCTCGGGAAGTGCTAAGCACCAAGCAAAACACAACAGGCAAGTGTCTTAAACAGCTCTGGAGTCCTGACACACATAATTTGGGTGTGTGGATGTGTCAGGTGCCCTGCTGCATTCACGTTCCAATCCTCAGCATCTTGCAGAATCATGCCCTTGTTGATCAAAAGGAAATGGCTACTAACATGAAGCACCAGGTTGAATATCCTTTCTTCGTGTCCTGCAGTCCCTTTGGTCTGTAGCAGATTGAAGCCATCCAGGGTTTTCACCATCACTTTGATGAGGAGTGGGAGCGCATCCCAAAGGCAGAGGCCAGCATGGGTGCTCAGGAATGACTTACCCAGTTTCCAGGCCATCCCTAGAGATGCTGCTGCACCTCCATCAGTCCACTCACTAGACAGAGCCACTGGGTTGGTGCCAGGGCCTTTGTCCTGTCCCTGTGTAGCTGTAAGTGGCTGACGGAT